TGATACAGCTACAGCGCTCAGACAGGGGGAGGTCTCGTCATCCTCAGTTCTTTGGGCATCAACTGAGTCCCCAGACGCCTCCTCCTCCTCCTCCTCCTCATCCTCTACCACGCTATCACAGTCATCGTCGGCGTCGTCGTCGTCATCTTCTTTTTCCTCTTCATCATCATCTCCATCTTTGCCCACAACCGTAACGACCAACGTTGTGAAACTCCGGTGTACTGTGCCCAGATCTGACAATGTCCATTGGCGACTGACCGATCTCCGCGAGTGGATAGCGGAAAATGGGATCAATCAGAACACTTCACCGGGAAATCGGTCGTCTGTTTACGAACTTCACCTGCAATGTGAGTACGGTGCTAACATATCTTTGCCGTGGCCGATGAAGGTCACCGGACTGCGAGAGCTTCACGTCACCGGCTGCTACCTCACAGACAGGTTGGCTTGTCTTTGTTTGTTTGTTTATTCATTTATTCATGTATTTCTTTCTTTCGATCTTTCTTTCTTATCTGTGTATTTATCTATTAAATTTATCGATTTGTTTATTTATTTATTTATTTATTTATTTATCCATTGAAAAATTCATGAGCACTCCTGACCCATCTGTTTGTCTGTCTGTCTGTCTGTCTGTCTGTCTGTCTGTCTGTCTGTCTGTCTGTCTGTCTGCAAGATTAATATTGTTTTTTTAGACATTCTGGTCAGGGCGAGCATTCTCTTCTGGAGTTTTACCGCTTCCCGATAATAGATAGCCACTAAGGCACAGGTAATGCGTTTTTTGAGACGACAATCTCTTTATCTGTGTTGACTTTTATTTTGCTTTTCATTAAAATTGCAAGCCCTGTATTCGGTCTCACAGCTGCATTTCGAAATGAGGTCGGGAACCCCCCCCCCCCCCCCGTCCCCCCGAAAAAAAAACCAAAACCAAAAAAAAAAAAAAAATCCCAACAACCAACAATCTAAAAACAGAAAAACCAGCAAAGAGAAACATGTTTGGTGGCAGACAGGAATATTCGGACGAACCCTGAAATGAAATATTGGTATTCGGTTGGTTGTTGTTGTTGTTGCTGCTGCTGTCTTTGTTGTTGCTGTGGTTGTTGCTGTTGTTGCTGTTGTTGTTGTTGTTGCTGCTGCTGCTGTCTTTGTTGTTGTTGTTGCTGTGGTTGTTGCTGTTGTTGCTGTTGTTGTTGTTGATGATGATGTTGTTGCTTCTGCTGTCTTTGCTGTTGTTGCTTTTTTATGGCTGAGTGTCACACCGGCCTCGCCTGCTGTGGTAAAGCGGTGACAAAACTCCATCGTCTTTTTTGTCCCTACTAAGACATATTTATGGGGTTTTAACTGTCACCATCATCATCTGGTGCATTGCCAACTGGCGTGGGTGATCATGGACCTCCACTTCACTCTGTCTTGTGTTGCAGCAATGGTGTCCGTTGCTCTTGCTGCTCCTAGCCATGTTGTCATCTTGTCCAGTATCTTTCCCTCTGTCTGCCTCTGCTCTCTTTCCATCAAACTTACAACTGTTGTTACAATATTCTCCAATGCTTCTTTCCGCATTGTGTGTCCAAAGAAATTTGCCTGTCGCTTCCGTATATTCGTCCTAAGCTGTCTTCTGCAATTTGGTTCTAACAAGACTTCTTCATTTGTTTTTCTAGCTGTCCATGGGGTCGTAGCATGCATCGTATGAACCACAACTCTGTCGCCACAATTGTTCTTTCCAGCTGTTTATTGATTGTCCATGCTTCGCACCCGTATAATAGGATTGGCTCGATGTATCTTTTCAGGACTCTTTTTCTCGTTTCCAGTGACAGAGTGATGTTTGTGAGTATCTGTTTCGTTTTGTGGAAGGTTGCTTTTGCTTCCCACAAAATGAAACAGATACTCACAAACATCAATCTGTTTTAACTGTAAGCAAAGTAAATTAACCACAGTAGGTTTGAAGAATATGACGAGGGGGAGGGGAGGTGGAGGAGGCTATGGAGACCAACACCTCACACTTCTCTACTCTCTAATATTAGGATGACACTTTGCTCTGTCTTCGTTGATATTCTTAAAAAAGCAAGTAAAGCAGTGTGTGGTTGGCGGGAGCTCAGGTGTGGTTTGCTTCTTCTTTCTTATCAGACATCTATCGTCCTTATCTCCCCTTCTTTTTTTATGTATGTTACTCTCTTCTAACACCTCTAATCTTCTGGCGATCATGTGACTTTATGCAGTTGCGAGCGCCGTAAAACCTCTACTAAACCTAAAAAAGAAACAAGTAAAGCTATTCGATCAGCGTTAATACGGCACAATGCCAAAACACGCAAAAGCAATAATTCAACTGGTCTAATTGAAACTGGATATCTATTTAGATCTTGGTTTGTGAATTTCGTCATTGCTGAAAAGTGTAGAGTCCAAAAACATTATTTTCAGTCGGTGAATACCTGCCTCATTCGACAAAATAACTCCCCCCCTCGAAACCTTTTTGCCATGACACATGTGTCCCGACATGGTGAAATCAGGCGCTCGTCAATTTTTGGCTATATCAATATCATGTAAGATAACAGCATGGAATCAGGCGCACGTCACTTGTTTTGTCATAATACTGTATCCCGACATGGTGAAATCAGGCGCTCGTCAATTTTTGGCTACATCAATTCAATATCATGTAAAATAACAGGATGGAATCAGGCGCACGTCACTTGTTTTGCCATGATACATGTGTCCCGACATGGTGAAATCAGGCTCTCCTCAATTTTTGGGCATGTGGAGTTATTGGTATCATCTTAAAGCCAGTCCATTTGCCTTGCTTTTGATTTTCTTAAATATCCGTTTATCTTAGATCCAGTTATGAGGCGATTGAAGGAGGTGGTGGTCGCTTTAGCTTCAGGGTCCATGGAAACTAAAAATTGACACCTTTTAATATGTCTTTATTCAAGGTTTTTTTGTGTACAATACACACGAAAATGTGTTCTTTGAAGAGCTTGGAAGGTGTTGAGCTAAAAAAAAACCCAAACAATTCGACAAAAATTCCCAAAGCTGCGGGAAAATGCCAGTTTCTTCTCTTTCATCGATTTGACGAGTGCCTGATTTCACCACCCTCGACGAATATCTTTTCCCTCGATGAAAATCTTTTTACTTCGCGAATACATTTTCCTTCAACGAATATCTTTTCTCTCGACATATTGTTTTCCCCTTTATGAATGTCTTTCCCCTCAAAGAATACTTTTCCCCTCAATCAAGATCTTCTCTGTCGAAGAATTCTTTTCTTCCCAGTCCTGTTCCCTGATGAAGGGCGACGTTATTCGCCTCCACAGTGATCTACATTAGGCCCAATAGGCTATTATTATTCGTTTTGGGGGATTCAGGGATAAAGTAGTCTTCAGTTTGGATTTCCTCAGCGTCAGTCAAACCGGTATCTTCCAGTTTAATCTAGATATCCATCTAGACACGTCAGTTGAAACTATGTTCAGAAAAAAACTTCTACTTTTAGCATGGCCTAAATTCAACTGTTTATGTAGGTCAAACTTTAACCAGAGAGCACTAACATTATAATATATTATACCATTTTGTCTTTATACTGCGGGGCAATATCTGAAGATATATCACACAATATGACATGTTGCAGTAAATCATTTTGACCAGTCCTAGTTCAAGAGACGACCAACTTTATTAACTGAGTAAACTTAGGACAAGAAACATGGTTTATATTCGCAACATGATCATCAACTATTAAAAGATATGTTTTCTGATACAAATGTTTCTTGGCCTAAAATTACTTGTATTATTATTTCGAACGAATCGAAAATATCCGAAAACTTAAATGTTGATTTTTTTCTTAGGCTTTCTTTTGCATAGGGTCTTGCCTTCGAAGATTAACAATAAAACTTTAAAACATGTCTTGACAAATTTTCTGCTCAGATACTGTCCATATCTCAGAAAGAGAAATCACCTTATTCAAAAACCTCATTTTCAGCGAAAATAACCCCCCCCCCCCCCCCACACACACACACAGACACTATTCTTAAGATGAAAAAAATCCTTCTGTCTTAAATAGAAGTCGAGATATTTGCAAATGAAGGAGGTGGTGTTCACCGGGTTCAGGGGAAAATATTAGAGAGAAAATGGCTGCCAAAGTTTGGTGAGAGTCCTTGAGAACTGAAAATTTACAGTTGTTGTCCCTTTTAATCAATGTTTTTCAGTAAAATTTACACCGAAATGTGCTTTTGAATTAAGATGTTAAGCCAAATGTTTCAGAAATCGATAAAAATTGCCAAACCAGCAGAAATATTTTGGTTTCTTCGATTTCAGTATTTTGACGAGACGATTACTTGATTCACCACGATTCCTCAAATATTTTACTTTCAAATTCACCAGGAATTTCCTAGATACTTTATTCTGGGACACTTTTGGAACAGGCGCTGTCGAGCAAACAAACATAGCACGCCCGTCGTATGAGATCGAGACTTGTAAATTAAAATCCGATAATAAAGTATCTACAGTCAAATCTTGTAGATTTTTCCCAACAAAATGTGATGCAGCGTGGTGAAATCAGGCCCTCGTCAAAATTATGAAAGTGAAGAAACTGGCATTTTTCCATTGGTTTGGTAATTTTTATTGATTTTATTGTCCATTAAAGAAGACATTTCTGTGTGGATTTTACTGAAAAGCATTGATTAAAGGCATAAATGACGTAAATTTTCAGTTTCCACGGACTCTCAAGCTAAGGAAAGAACGCAACTTTGGCGGCCATTTTCTTGCTAATTTTACCCCTGGAACCAGGCCACCCTTTCCTCCTTCAATCGCTAATATCTAGATTTGCATCTAAGGTAAATGGATATTTTTTGTCCACCAAAAGCAAGGCAAATGGACAAGCTTTAAGATGATACCAGTATTTTCGTACGCTCCAAAACTGACGAGCGCCTGATTCCAGTGCGTCGTGACACAAATGATTATGAGAATATAGAACTTCTGATAAATAACTATCAGGAAAGTCTGATAGCCGAATCCACCCACACATTATCGTGATGTCTGAGGCAGTCCACAAAAATAGCTGTCGCTGGTGATCACCTGGGCTGACATGTTCTCTGATGATGTTCTGATATTGGAGGACTCGATTCGCGCCGGGGGGGGGGGGGGAGGGGGGCAAATAGTGAGAGGGGGAAAAGGGAGTGCTATTTATTGATCCCTTCCTGTGGATGTGGAAACAACGCTCCGTGGGAGATGGTATAGTAAGGGTTTAAACGAGGTCACACAAACACCGACGATCTTGTAACAGGTAGCCACACTAATGCAATGTCCATTCTAGGTAGTACTTAGCCAACAACATAGAACTTACTTAACTCTCCCAAATTCAGTGTCGAATATCGACCTGTTAGAGATCTGAACCAGTGTCATCCGCGCTTTGGTCTAATATAATATCGACGATGCTAGTAGTGCACTCTTTGTGGTAAAAATGACATATTGGCAAGAATGAGCGAGTGTGAAAAATCTACACTGTCTGACTCCTCCCCGTATTTCTCTTTCGACTCAACAGTTGATCTTTTCCCCTTATTCCCTCTCTCTCCCAACCGCCACCTACCGTGCGATTCGTCAACTTTGAGATTGTAAGGGGGTGAGGACATGCACAATCTCTGGTCGTAAATGAATGTCTTTGCTCACAAGTACATCTTTGATGTTATTTAATTTTACGTTCTGTTTTCGCTATTTCTTTGAGCCTAGCACTTAAACTTTGAAATGGCATTTCTGTGTATTGATCTTGGTACCAAAAGATCTTGGTAATAATAACCCTCATCCTTATCCCTTTACTTGTTCTCCCTCCCCATCCCGACATCTTTACCATCCCGTCAATCTCCCTAAGATCTGCAGCCCATCCCCATCGTATTCAATGAACATTACCCAGAAAAAGAAAATATTTAACTGAAGCCAAATGAGGATACAGGCTATTAAATCGATGCCCTGCGCATGGGGTGTGTGTCGTGCATGATCAACACATTTTAAATTCAAACCAAGTTTTAAAAATGGTTAGTGCACCATTGAGACTACTCGTGTCGAATTTGTTCATTGCATATTTACTTTACATGTTGAGCACCAACGTCCATGATGGAATTGTTTGACGTTTGGCCCTTTCGAGCAAATACCGTTAGCTCAATTGCTGTTTTTCTGTAGTGGTGCTGTATTCCAATCAGTTCGAGTTGTCCCTAGCAGACATGATCGAAGCAGTCTACCTCCTAAATGACAAAATTGTGTCTATTTAGAGTATTCAAAATTTAGAGCATCTAAAATTCAAAAGTTAGGATGATATTAATCATTGCAAGCATTATGCATGCAGCGAAGATACTTAATGAATATGTCTTTCTATAAGCCATCAATCGTAAAACAATTCCTAAATAAAGGATGGAATAGATTGGGTATGTTTAACCGTGTTCTATTTTTGACACCGCCAGGTACGCCGACTACCAAAACCCGGTGGCTGGTAGTTCACCGGACGAGCTGCGAGTCCTCGACATCCGACACTCGGCCTGGATCCTCTCGGACTCAAACCCTCTGACGTCCGTGGCAGGGGCTGATCAGCTGAACCTGACGAGTGACTATGATTGTGGCCACGACAGGAGTCTCGAGGTCTTCATCAACAGAAACGTCACCGACATTATTGAGCCCAGCAACGTTAGCCTCCATGACCTAGGGCTCTCACTTGACGACGTGCAAAAGCAGTTGAACTCTGACCTCGAAGAAGACCTTGACCTTACCTTTATGTTTGGTGGCACAACCGGACCCGTTAAACCGGAGGACCGCTTAAACAGAGACAGAGAGAAAGTTGTGTCCGACGAGAATACATTCAAAAGGATTGGACCAAAGAACGGTAATCAATCTAAAGAGGGAGGTCCAGCAGGCCAACAGGACTTATCTGCCCTTAGTGCTGCTCGAGACGAATCGTCTGTCGAGGCAGAGACAGATTTTCTGGACGTTTTGAACAAAGCGTTTAAGACTAGGACTCGATGTCACTACAAGAGACTTATAGTCCTAGATGAAAGTCAGAATAGGCTCACCCCGCTGTTTCACTTCGAATTCCTTGTGCAAGAAGCTGATTACCCTGTGCTAGGTGAGTCAGTTTATTCTTTTCTTCTTTCGTTCTCTTTCTCCTGGAACTTTTTATTTACGAATTGGTTATAATTGCTTATAGCCGAGAGTTAAGAAGTGAAAATCGGACTTTGCTAGAATTTCCCACAGGGGTGTATGTGCAAACAAACAAACAAACGTACACACACACACACACACACACACACACACACACACACACACACACACACACACACACAAACATACACACACACACACACACACACACACACTCTCTCTCTCTCTCTCTCTCTCTCTCTCTCTCTCTCTCAAGCATACAAATACACACACAGCGAGGAACATTTTCGGTACACCTGAACTGCCAATTTGCTCTTCATCTCCACTAAATGACTACATTAATCAAATATTTGACAGCTAATCACCCAGCCATCACAGCTCCATGCTTATGTTTAGTATTTTCAGTTATAATAATAGTTTCATGGCATTTGCAAAACATTCATAATAAGTGCCGAAGATTAGATGTGTTACAAGAGAGGAGCGAAAAAACAAAACAAGAGATAATAGGGATAGATGTTTGACAGGAAAGAAGGAGCAAACCACACCAGAGAACCCGCCAGCCATCCTCCCAATGGTCATGATATCGATCATCATCATCATCGAACTTAACAACGACATAAGCACCCAATAATGAGAAGCAACAACATCCGCAAATGTACGGATAACGACAACAGGAAAGGCAAGGTTAACTGCAGTAATACTACAGAATAAAATAAGTAACGAAATTTAAACTCAATAAACTTTCTGCAAAGACACGTGACCGTCACCTGCGGTGTGGCAGTTAGGCGCTTCCCTCTCGCATCCAAAAGAAGGTCAAAGATTAGTGAGTGCGTTTTTAAACAGTTTAAAACTCATTCTCGAGACAAATTATGTAATGGTGATTTCCTTCTTCTCGAATTAGTCTTTCCTACTGCTCAGGTGTGTATGTACCAGTTACACATCTTCATGCTCATTACATTATTTTTGTCTATGTCAGTTTTGGTCGGTTTGGAGTTTTCGGTTCTGAAATGAAGAGCACAGCCAGCTAGGTAACATATTTTACTTAGACTAAAGAAAGATCCAAATATAAAAAGAATTGAGCGTATCAAAAGTCAAGCTTCAGTGACCTAATATTATTCTCTCGCTTGCAGGTGGTTCGCCAACGCCAACAAGCCTTAGCCCTATCCGTACGCCCTCAGGTCATTTTGTACCCCAGGAGTTGTATTCTTCACATTTTAAAATACACCAAGATCTCTTTGAAACTTTCAGTATTTCTCAAAAAATCATTTTGACAGACTGCCCATGCAAAGCGTACGGATCAGATTAACGAGTAAATTTCCCCTTTGGCTTGAAAAGTGGTGGCACAGAGTTCCCCACGTCGTATGGGTACGATACTAAAACACGAGGAACTGATAGGGTTAAGCCGTCATTGCGCCTAATAAACCACGATAGAAGTAAACTCTCTCTCTCTCTCTCTCTCTCTCTCTCTCTCTC